AGACCACAAAGCATCTCTGCATGCCCACAAGCCGACAAAGCCTCTCTCCCACCACTGCAGCTCATGGCTGGTGTTCTGGTTGCTTTTTTCCTCCTAAAAGAAGGAATTAAGGAGAAGAGACACAGAAAACACCTCCTGGCACAGATGTCCTGCTCTGCAAGCATGGCAGGAGATGGGCACTGCTAGGCAGTGGTGGGACATCTACTCCAGCCTGTCCCTGCTTCAGACATCCTGGTTAGGAAGCAAGAAAAGATCTGAGCATTTTTCCTTCTGGACAAAGCTGCTCACGACATCCCAGCCTTGATGTTTCCCTCACTTGAGGGGCAGAAGGTCTGGGTGGAACAGCAGCAGGGTGAGTTTTTGGTGCAGTTGTCTCACCGGATGGATTTAGTGCAGGATCAAGCCAAGGAGATCCAGCCCCTCAGCTGCTTCTTCCATGTGAAAAATCATTTGCTGAAAATTCTGGGGCTTAGCCCTTGCTGCTTGCCTTTCCACCCCACCTTTTGTTCTTGGGCTTTATTAAAAAATAATAATAATTTTAATTTATTAAAAAAAGGCATCTCCCAGCCTAAGTTTCTCCAGGACCTGACTCTCAGCCGAGCACTTTTGCTGCCAAAGGAAAAGCCATTTCCAAGGCAGATTCAGCCTCCAGGTTCCCCCAAAGCGTGCCGGGAAGAGGTTAAGGGATATTTTTCTTTTGTGAATGGGGGAAAAAAGTGTGTGTGGGGGAGTGGGACATTTCTTCTTGTGGTGTTAAACCTTGAGCATCTGGCAGGGAGATGCTGGGATGCGTCTTGATGCTCCGAGCCGTTGGGTGGAAACTTTTGCATCCCCTTTTTTGTATCAATAACCAGAGCATTAGCTGACTGGCTGTTAAAAAAGCTGCTAATTGCAGCCACCTCATTAGCCCGCTCTCCTTTGGGAATGGGTTTATATTTTTTATCTGGGGCCATTTTCAGACAGGGTTAGCTCTCAAGGAGGAGCAGGGCAGCTGCGGGTACCGTGCCCCATGCGAAGCCCTTTCCTAAAGCCCGGCTGGATGCAGGAGAGGACAAAACCCCTTAGGAGCATCGGGAAAGGGATGGAGACCAAACATCCCATCAGGCTGGAGATTGGTTGGGAAGGGAAAGCATCAATATAACCAGCTTTCCCTCCGGCAAAGCTTTTAATAGCCGGATGGTGGAGTTTGAAAAGCTGCAAGCGAGCCGTCTTCCCCTGCATCCTCTGGCTTTGGGGCTTGGGTGTTTTCCACAGTGATGTTGGACATCTCCAGCCACTTTCTCTCTCCCCAGCTGCCTTCCAGCCTCGCAGTGGGGGAAGACAAGCAATTTTTTAAACCCTCTTGTGATCAGAAACAGTGGGCAGGGAGAGAATTTGGGGACAAGGACCAGACCCACCTCCTCTTATCCCCCATCCGAGGGGATTCCCCACCTTTAAATCCCTTTAAATCCCCCTGTATCAGCATCTGGATGAAACAAATTTTGTTTTAACTTTCCTGTCGGGTGCAGCTGGAGCCACTCGGCTCAGCAGCGTCTGGGGGAAGGCCAGGTTTTATTGAAAAATATAATGGTGCCACCTGAAGCGTGATTTACTGCACTGTCCACTCCTCGGACTTGATAATATATTTCTATTAGATTTCCTTCTTTTCCCTCCCTTCTCCTCGCGAAGAGTGGCAAGTTTCTCCGTCTGCCTGACACCTTCGTAGGCTTAGGCAAAATAAATGTTGATTTTCATCAGGAGGAAGAGCGCTGGAAGTCCTAATTCTCCGGCGAGGCTGACAAGCTCAGCAAAAGCCGCCCAGCTTTCGATGGAAAGCTCGTGATCCAGCCCCAGTTCTTCTCTTTGGAAGCTGTTCAATCATCGTAATGAAAAAGGGGTTTCTTAGCCTGGCTTTCGCTAACTAGAAATTATATACCTGGTTCCTGGAAGATGGATTGCGTGGCTGCCGAAATGCAGAGAAGAAAGCGGGGGGAGAGAGTGAAGGCGCGCGAGATGCGACCCAAGATTGATCACGCCATTTGCAGGATCTCCCATGCACAAAAGCGGAAAATATATTTTTGTTTGCTGGGGTGGGTTAAGTGACACCCCTGTTTTCTCCAGGTCCCCCCTGCAAGCCCCAGCTTTCGTGGCAGGGAGTTTCAGGATTCAGTGTTTGCCCATCCCCGGCTGTCCCCCGCGGGCTGAGGCCTCCGCTGCTCCATCCTTTCCAGAAGCAGCATCTCCCTCCATCCGAGGTGAGAAACTGGACCAGTTTAGTCCTTTTACAACCTATTTTGGGTTTATTTCGTTATTGCCCTCCTTGATTTTTTGAGGAATGCATTTGAAATGAGGCACGGATGCTCTGAAAGCATCTTGCCTCTGTGAAACCCCGTACCGAAGTCAGGAAGCTAATTACGGTCGATTTAAAAAATCACTTTTCTTTTTCTCCCCCCAAAAAAGAAATCTATATTTCTACTTCTGTAATCATATTTGCTTTGAATTGGAAAGTGTGGGTTTCATAATGCTGCGTGGATATTAGCTAATGAAGTTTCCTTGGGGGGAATCGACCTGTTTCCACCGTTCTTGGACTGGGGCTGCAGTCGCTGCGGGGCAGGAATGAGGAAATGCTGATTTTGACCCGTTGGGGTTGATGGGCAGCAGCTCTGCTGGACCTTAATTACAGCAACTGGGGCGGGTTTTGGAAATCCCAGGCTGGAAAAACCATCTGGCTCAATGCAAAAGGGATACTTGGGGTCAGCTGGAAAATTAGGAGGGTGGTAAGAGGCCGAGCGGGGTGCGATGGGCGTCTGTTCGGCATTGCCGTTCCCTGAAGCCAAATTTGGCTGCGTCGCCGGTGACTAATAGCTGAGTCCGTTGTGGCTGCTGTGCAGCCCTCTGATGTATGGGTGTTATATTAAGGGTGGAAAGGTGCTAAATGAGCCCTCTTTATTTTACATAAATTAGCTCAAAAGCTATGTATCACTGCCACAACGGCTTAGACTCCGAGCAAGTTTGTTTACCCAAGTTTAAAAGCAAAGAAAAACTCTTGGTGACTCCCCATTGTTGGATGCTGCTTGAGTTCCTCACCCCTCCTGCCTCCTCTGCCCCAAAACCTTCTCCTTTGGGCTTTTAAAGCTGCTCAAAGGTGCCCACGGTCCCACCTCCGCTTTGGGCATCATCGTTTGGGAAGTGCGATGTGGAGCGCCGATGCTGGGTTTTTGCAGAAACATGGGCAAGTTGCGTGCTGCTCATCCAGAACATAAGCATCTGGAGGGCAGTTGGGCTGGATTCCCTGTATCTTCTCCACGTTCTTCTCCACCTCCTGTAATCCCAAGTGAGAGGTGACTTTTCCCACTAAACCTCATTGCTCAATGAGCTGTGGGATCCTTTTTTCTGGGAAAACTCCTCCTTTTCCTGTCCGCATTCATCTCGGTGTCTTCTTGCCCAAGCAGCCACCACTTTCCTGCCCACTCATCAGTCTGGTAGGTAAAACCCCATAACCACCTCTCCGAACTCTTCAGGGAGGGAAAACAGGAGAAATTGAAGAAAGGTATTGTCCAGCGTTGTGGCTGAAATGGAGAAGGACTTCACGTCGTCCACCCTGGTCCGTGAGATGTGCCTGGACTCATCCTGCAAAGAGGTCACCTTCCAGAAGCACTTCCCAGGGTTTTGGCTTTATACGAGCATCTGGGACCCTCTTTTGGGGAGGCACAGTGCTCCAGCAAGCTGAAGTCATCACCTGGAGCATCTTGGGGGGGTTTGGTCCCCAAACCTTTCACCGGCATGAGTTAACCTCTTGCTTGCTGCTGCTCTGCTCTTCCCTGCTCCAGCCCAGCCCTGGAGCAGGTCACGATGCTCACGCTGTGCCGTAATTTGAAAGTTCAGCTACTTTTTATTTTCTTTTTTCACCCATAACTTGGGGATTTGTGGCTGATTCGCTTCTCTGCGGTGGAAAGGGACCTGTGAATGCCTTCGTCCTGTGCTGCTTGCACGTGGCTGAGGTTGCTTGGGGATTTGGGGAACCAGCCACCTCCATTCCAGCCATGGCCAAGGGGGACATCAGCTCTGGGCTCAAAGGGAGTCACGTCCCCACCCCAAAGGGACCAATTCTGTACCGAAAGGCTGGGGAGGAGGGGACTGCAGGGCAGCAAGGCCAGGCTGAGCACCACGCTGGGGACACACGTGTCCCCACCAGCGGGCTGGCAGGGCGGTGGGGGACCCTCAACCATCGCTGTGGGCTTTGGGATGGGAGGCATGGGGTGCAATTAGGTGGGCTCGCTTATTTTTCTCCATTTGTTCACTAATTAATCCTTCTCGTTGGCAGAACCGTGCCCTCTGGGGCAGCTTTTACTCTCTTTTCCCTGAGCACGAAGCGCTGGGGCTGCAGGAGCAGCAGAGGAGCGCAGGATGCTCCTGCGCCTGCATCCCAAGGGATTTCCAAGGCAACCCAAGCCAACCGCAACGACTTTCTCCTCTTTTCTTCCTTTCCGCTCCCAGGCACTGCCAAACGGAAGAGGACTTTGCCGCTGGCATCCTTGCGGGACTCTGAAAATGCCCGTCTTGAGGAGGGTGGTAGAGGTGAGGCCAGTGGGTGCTATCGGGGTTGGGTGCTGCCGGGGCAGAGGACCACCCGCATCCCCAGTGCCCATGCCCATCTCCGGTGCGTTAGCCCACCATAACCGGGCAAGGAGAAGCCTGGGGCTGTCCAGATGTGTGTCACCCACCTCCCACCATCACCTTTTCCTTTCCTCCCTCCAGGCAAACGGCTGCAGATCAAGCCCCGTCTATGAGCAAGACCTGACCCCGCGGCAGCCGACCAGCTCAGGAACCGCAGAGCCGGGCACGACCTGGCACCTACCTCAGGACGCCGCGGCCAGAAGCGGCACCCCCTTCTCATCTTGCTTTTCCGGGACATCATTTTGGCAAGGAGCCGGGTGGCAGCGTGGGGAAGTGCCACCCGTTCCTGCAGGGAAGCAGCTTTGTTTGACGTATTTTAATTTGCCAATAAATTATCTTTTCAGCCAGTTTATTGAAGGCAAGCCCTGCCACCAGGCTCCTTGGATGCTTGCGGGGCTGGGAAGAGGGTCCCATCCCCATCGGTCTTCCTGCAGATCGTGGCTCTGCTGCTGTCCCGGACACGAGGTGACATGGGGACCTGAGGAGCTTAATGCCATCACCAGACGTGCCCGCATCCAGGTCAGCCACTATATTGGGGACAAGTGTGGCCGGTGGTCACAAGTCACCGTGCCGGATTGTAATGGGGTGTAAAGCCCCTGCACGGCTCAGCCCTGGTCTCTCCATGTCCAGAGGCCACCTGCATCCATCCCGCTCCATCTCCTTGGTTTTGGGAGGAGATTTCTTGGAGCGGAGCCGTGTGCCAAGAGCATCCCTAGTGGAAATGTGTGTTGGGAGCAGTGCTGAGCTCACACCAAATGCTCCTGCAGCATGTCGGGGTCTCCCATGGCCGGTTGCACCCTGATCCCCACCTCTCCCCACCTCACTGGGGGTTTGGTCTCCCTTGGGAAACCCAAACCAGCTCTTTGGGGTTTTTTGCTCCAAGAAGGAGCAAAGTACGGAGGGAGCATTGTGCAAGCCGAGTACTGCCAGCCACGCAGCTGCCAGCACGACGGGTTTTTGCATCCATGGGTACAATTTCCACGGGGATTTCAGGGCTGTTCCCCCCCCACGGATGCCATTTTGGGGACAGCTGCAGGATCTCCCCTTGCCAAGAGGTGCCGAGAGCTGGGACCATCCGTGAAGGGCGGCCGGATTTGCCCATCCACTGCTACTCAATTGCAGCACCTTCAGGCAAAACCCTGCGGGAAAAAGGCATCAGTGGGGACGTGGGTGAGCACTGGGACTCCCTGGGGACCCAGCACCCAGGTGCGCTTGGCGGTGGGGTGGGCGACGGAGCCACCACGATGCCATGGGCTCAGGTGCGCCGGCGGCTCCGGCAAAGGGCTGACGGCTGCAGTTTCGCCCCCCCGCACCTGGGCAACATGGGTCCCCACGGGGGTTTCCCTTCCCCAGGTGACCCCCATGGAGGGGTCTTGTTATCACCCCACATCTGGGATGCACCCCCTTGCCCGGTTCGTGGTGGGGGATTTATCGCCTGGTTTGGGTGGCTCGGGGCATGGCGTGCCACCAAAAGCATTAATGCCTGTCACCTCCCTGGGCTCCGGTTTAAGGATGCTGCCCGCTGCTCAACTGGCAGCTGGTGGGGGGGGTTAGTGCCACTTGGAGACCAGTTTGGGGTGGCCCCGTCCCCAGCATCCCCCCAGCCCTTGCGAGGACCAGCGGGTCTCCCCCCTCGGGGCTGCCCTCATACCCCAGCGTGTGTACAGCGAGCTGATTTTTTAATAAAAACTTTGTCGTCTCCGTTGATATTAAATGTCTTTTATTAACCTGTGTGTTTTGATATGTAAATAAAGAGTTTCTTCCCCAGGATGCCTGGTCAGAGTGTGGCTTTGCTCTTTTTTTCAGCAACACTGCACAAACACCCCCTTGAGGAGCTGGCTAATGCAGGTGGAGGGGCCGCTCTAATCCCCAAATCTTCTGAGGTTTTTAATTATTATAATTTTTTCCCTCCTTACCCAGAAAGGATGTTTCTTCACATGGTGGTTTCCTAAAAAAACCCACCCTAAATTCACTAAAAATCACCCCAGCAGAGAGTATGATGCTGCGAGTCCCCAGGGATGGCCAGTGCAGGGTGATGGTGGCCGGGAGCTTCTGTGCTTCCCGTAGCCGTGGTTCCCTAACGAGCAGGCTAACGGGGATTAAGGCTCGCTCTTCACTAATTAAGCGAAGCAATGAGTAGCTTGCTGAGAGCCGCGGCTCTGCCGCCCACCGGCGCTGCTGCTCCCTTCCCGGGGAGGATTGTAATTTATTGCCGGCTGTCGTTAAAGCATTGCTTGGGGGTGATTAATTTCCGAGCAGGGATAAACGCGGCCCCTGGAGAGGTGTCGCTGAGCCCCGGTGGGTTCCCTCGCTGCCTCCAACAGCCACGACGCCTCGGTGATGGGCCCCAATGGGGGTTTATCCATCCTCCCCATCAAGCCAGGGTTACTGTGGTGGTGGGTGCATGGCTGGGTTGTCCCATGGCCCCGGCAAGGACGTGCCCTGGGGGTACCTTGGCTGGAGGGCACCATAAATATTTCCTGGAAAACCCTCCTGCGGTGGGTGCTGCTGGCACAGATCTTGGTCCCCAGCTGGAGAAGCTGGTGCCAGGCTAGCATCGCCTGCCGGCTCACTTTTCTGCCTGTCATCTGGGTGGCTGTCCCCTGGCGTCCTTCTCCTCAATGCCCGTAGCTGGTCCCACCACGGGCACGAGCCTCTTCGCATAGTTATTCCCCTTCCCAAAATGATTTCTGACCCTTCTCCGTGCGGCGACACCCGGGTTTGTGCCGCAGGTGCTGGTGGAGCATCGCCAAGATGGTACCACCAGCTCATGGGGTGCGTCATGGTAGACACCACCCTCACCATGGCGTGATGTCCTCACGAGGGTTCCCCGAGCCAGCAGCACCCCAGATTGGGTGCTGTGCATCATCACCCCATCATCAGTCAGCTGGGGAAACTGAGGCAGCACCCACACGGGTACCCAGGCACCCGGCCCCGCTCAAAGGGTTAAAGGGGCACGGGAGCTGCCCGCTCTAAAAGCAAAAAGTGACGCCATCCCACCGCCATCCCCTGGCCACCAACCCGGTTATGTCACTCGACCGCCTGCGAGTAAACTTAGATGACCGGTTCGGTGTGGCGGGGAGGGCCGGGGACATGCTATGGGACCTGACCACGTTCCCCTGGCCACCCCACTAAAAATACCCAGGGGTGGGGGGTGTCACTGGTGAGTGATGGCCCCGTTGGAGCCCGTCCCGTTCCTAATCCCTTCGTGGCTCCCGTCCCATCGTGGGTGGCAGCTGCTGATGGGGGCCGGGTGCCCCCAAGGTACCAACAGCTCCGGGGAGGAACGTGGTGCCGGGGGTAGGGAGGTGGCACCGCATCCCGGACCACCCCCCCATTTTCCCGACATGGGTCCCCGACACCCCACTGCACAGGGACACCGATGCTGCATTTGGGGTCACACAATTAAGCAAATGGGAGTTAAAAACACCCCATGAAAAGTTTTTTGTTGTTGTTGTTGCAAAAACACCAAGTTGCCCTTTTTGTCCACTTCTTTGCCCCCTCCCTCAAGTTGCGGGGGGGGTGTCCCATTATCCCCTGCCCAAGTTTGGGGTCTCCAGTATGGGTTATCTGTCCCAGGTTATCCAATATGGGATAACTTCCAGCATCACTGGGGTTCTGGGGGGGACACATGGGGCTTTGCCTGCATCTGTGACCCCCCCTCCCCCCCAGTCTGCCCTGACTCAATTTTACCTTGATAGGAGGAGAAAGATGGAGAAGGGGACAACAAGCACTGCAAACCCTCCAGGGGCTGGATCCAGTAAAAGAAATGATGTGGGGTTTTATTTGCTGGGGATGCAACAGGATAAAGGTTTTCATCCCCTCCCTAAAAAACCTTTTTTGCATTAATTTGGCCCAAAGAATCCCTGCTTTTTGAACAATCAGCTAGCACTCTTGGAGGACAGTGTTCCTTGTCTCCAAGTCCTCAAGCGGGGATGGCCATCAGCTGAGAGAGGGGACCGTCACTCCCCCCCCATCCCATGGAGCTGCCTGTGGGGCAGGATGAGGCCAGACTGGGATGTAGTGGGACCTGGGCAGCATCCTGTGGGCGATGGGGATGATCCTGGGCCCCGAAGGGGATCGCTGGGTGGCGGGTGGGTGTTGATAGCCTCTGTGGGATGAAGCCGGTCATCTCTTGGGGTTAGGTGGGACAACTTGACGGCGACTTCCCCGTGCCTCAGTTTCCCTCAAACACCTTGGTGTGGGGAACAGCTGTACCCACAGCTGGAATCAGGCTGCTGTTTGTGCCCCATCCCCGGCCTCGGTGCATGTCCCCATCCTAACCCCGACCGTGACCCCCCGCCCCCCGACACTGACCCTAATTAACCCCAATTCTCACCCAGACCTCCCCAAACATCCTCATCCCTCCTATGCTGGCAGCTCCAGCAGCCACGAGGTGGCAGGGCTCGGAGCAGCATGGCTTCATCCAGGCCAGGGCCTCATCGTGCAGCGGGACTGAGCACCCCGCGGCCACCCAACCCGCTGCCGTTCTGTGCCGGCGGTGCCTTTTCCGTGTGCTGGGATGGCGGTCCTCGTCCTCGAGCTGCCGACGCTCCTCGCCACGCGTCAACCGTAAACGTCACCTCCTGCGGCACGAAGCCAGAGGGAGCGACGAGAACGGTCCGGTGGGAGCACGCGGAGCTGGCTTTGGTGAATGAGGCTGCTCCTCGACCACCAATGTCTTGTAGGAACATCAAAAACATAAAAATTCCCCCCCCCAATGTATATATATATATATGTGGCTGTCTGCAAGGATGGCAAGCCTTCCTTATGCCCTGGGAAGGATGCTGGGCTGCTCCCGCCTGGGAAAACCGAGATGGGGAAGGGGCTGCACCCCAACATGGGGCCTGATCCCTCCCAGCAAGGCAGCGTAAAACCTGATTTGGGCTCAATCATCCCCATTTTGGGTCTTTCCTGGGGGTGGTTTTTTTTGGGGGGGGGATGAAATCCTAATTTCTTTGCTATTTTCCCCCTCACTCCTTGCTCAGCCCGCCTTGGACCCGGGCTGGTTGGCGGGAGCCAAAAACGACGGCGGGCAGCGCCGAGCCCCTCTCCCCACCGAGATTGACAGCCCCCGCCCCGCCCCCGGGGCGTTGCCATGGGGATATGCAAATATCACCTCTCTGATAGGTGAAAAGCGACTGAGCCCCGCCTCCGGAGGCGGGGAAAGGGGCGGGCTCCCTTTTTTCTTTTTTTTTTTTTTTTTTTTTTTTTTTTTT